TTAAACAGCCATCACTAGCACAGAGAGGCTGCTGCCTACATACAGACTTGAAAATCACTGGCCACTTTAATAATGCCACTTGAATAATGTTTACATATCTTGCATTAACCATCTAATTTGTATATACTGTCTTCTATACTATCTATTGCATCTTAGCCTATGCCACTCTGATAATGACATTGCTCATCCATATATTTATATATTCATATTCCATTCCTTTACTTAGATTGGTGTGTATTAGGTTTTTGTTGTGGAACTGTTAGATATTACTTGCTAGATACATTGGGGGAAAAAAGTATTTAGTCAGCCACCAATTGTGCAAGTTCTCCCACTTAAAAATATGAGAGAGGCCTGTAATTTTCATCATAGGTACACGTCAACTATGATAGACAAATTGAGAAAAAAATATCCAGAAAATCACATTGTAGGATTTTTAATGAATTTATTTGCAAATTATGGTGGAAAATAAGTATTTGGTCACCTACAAACAAGCAAGATTTCTGGCTCTCACAGACCTGTAACTTCTTTAAGAGGCTCCTCTGTCCTCCACTCATTACCTGTATTAATGGCACCTGTTTGAACTTGTTATCAGTATAAAAGACACCTATCCACAACCTCAAACAGTCACACTCCAAACTCCACTATGGCCAAGACCAAAGAGCTGTCAAAGGACACCAGAAACAAAATTGTAGACCTGCACCAGGCTGGGAAGACTGAATCTGCAATAGGTAAGCAGCTTGGTTTGAAGAAATCAACTGTGGGAGCAATTATTAGGAAATGGAAGACATACAAGACCACTGATAATCTCTCTCGATCTGGGGCTCCACGCAAGATCTCACCCCGTGGGGTCAAAATGATCACAAGAACGGTGAGCAAAAATCCCAGAACCACACGGGGGGACCTAGTGAATGACCTGCAGAGAGCTGGGACCAAAGTAACAAAGCCTACCATCAGTAACACACTACGCCGCCAGGGACTCAAATCCTGCAGTGCCAGACGTGTCCCCCTGCTTAAGCCAGTACATGTCCAGGCCCATCTGAAGTTTGCTAGAGTGCATTTGGATGATCCAGAAGAGGATTGGGAGAATGTAATATGGTCAGATAAAACCAAAATATAACTTTTTGGTAAAAACTCAACTCGTCGTGTTTGGAGGACAAAGAATGCTGAGTTGCATCCAAAGAACACCATACCTACTGTGAAGCATGGGGGTGGAAACATCATGCTTTGGGGCTGTTTTTCTGCAAAGGGACCAGGACGACTGATCCGTGTAAAGGAAAGAATGAATGGGGCCATGTATCGTGAGATTTTGAGTGAAAACCTCCTTCCATCAGCAAGGGCATTGAAGATGAAACGTGGCTGGGTCTTTCAGCATGACAATGATCCCAAACACACCGCCCGGGCAACGAAGGAGTGGCTTTGTAAGAAGCATTTCAAGGTTCTGGAGTGGCCTAGCCAGTCTCCAGATCTCAACCCCATAGAAAATCTTTGGAGGGAGTTGAAAGTCCGTGTTGCCCAGCAACAGCCCCAAAACATCACCGCTCTAGAGGAGATCTGCATGGAGGAATGGGCCAAAATACCAGCAACAGTGTGTGAAAACCTTGTGAAGACTTACAGAAAACGTTTGACCTGTGTCATTGCCAACAAAGGGTATATAACAAAGTATTGAGAAACTTTTGTTATTGACTAAATATTTATTTTCCACCATAATTTGCAAATAAATTCATTAAAAATCCTACAATGTGATTTTATGGATATATTTTTCTCATTTTGTCTGTCATAGTTGACGTGTACATATGATGAAAATTACAGGCCTCTCTAATCTTTTGAAGTGGGAGAACTTGCACAATTGGTGGCTGACTAAATACTTTTCCCCCCCACTGTATTGCTGCACTGTCGGAACTAGAAGCCATTTCATTAATTGTTCAGCAGTCTTATGGCTTGAGGGTAGAAGCTGTTAAGGAGCCTTTTGGACCTAGACTTGGCGCTCCGGTACCGCTTGCCGTGCGGTAGCAGAGAGAACAGTCTATGACTTGGCTGACTGGAGTTTTTGACAATTTTTTTGGGCTTCCTCTGACACCGCCTAGTATATAGGTCCTGGATGACAGGAAGCTTGGCCCCAGTGATGTAATAAGCCTTAATTAGGATGTAATAAAGGTGTAATAAATCTTTGCAAAAGTGTAATAAAGTTTAACAAACTCTGAAAACAAACTTATTTGAAAAGGAAATCATCTCCCAAATATCACTATACTCCGCAATTTCAATTTAATCCTCCAGAAACTACAGAACAAATAATGCAACAAATATTGTGGTTAAATTCAAATATACTAATTGACAAAAAACCTTTATTTTTTGACAGAATGTTTAAAAAAGGTATAATCTTCGTAAATTATATCATCTGTAGGACTGGTGGAGTTATGTCGCACATGCAGCTAACAAAAACATATGGAAATGTCTGCTCTACCCAAAATTACAACCAAATAATTGCAGCCTTACCGCAAAAGTGGAAGAGGAAAGTGGAAGGGGGAGAAAGTAAGGAACGTGTCTGTCGGCCTTGCATTAAAGAACATAATTGGTTAAGGAAAACTGTGATAAATAAAAAAGTATATCAGTTTCACTTAAGGACCAAAGGATTGACAGCCGTCCCATATAAATTGCAAAATAGTTGGGAAGAGATTTTTTACGTACCGATCCCATGGCATAGTGTTTATGAACTGACACGCAAAACGACACCAGATTCAAAAATTAGAATCTTTCAATTTAAATTATTATATAAAATTCTTGCTACCAATAGAATGTTATTTATATGGGGGATACAATCTTCCCAGCTCTGCAGATTTTGCTGTGAAGAGACAGAATCATTAGATCATTTGTTTTGGTTCTGTCCATTTGTAGCTTGTTTTTGGACACAGGTCCAGGAATGGCTAAAGGATTGCAATATTTACCTGGAGCTAACCTTGCAGATAGCATTACTGGGTGATCTGAAAAGTCATAGTCAAGCGATCAATAATATAATAATACTTTTAGCAAAAATGTTTATTTTTAATTCACAATCTGTAGAATCAATGAGAATAGAAAGGTTCAGAACTTTTGGAAAACATCACAGTACGGTTTAAATAGATACGGCAAATAGAAATCCTATATGGATGGTGTTGAGATAGATGGGAGGTATTGAATGGAGTTGAAGGATGGGACTAATAACAAATAACAACAAATACAGTGAGGGAAAAAAGTATTTGATCCCCTGCTGATTTTGTACGTTTGCCCACTGACAAAGACATGATCAGTCTATAATTTTATGGTAGGTTTATTTGAACAGTGAGAGACAGAATAACAAACAAAAAAATCCAGAAAAACGCATGTCCAAAATATTATAAATTGATTTACATTTTAATGAAGGAAATAAGTATTTGACCCTTCTGCAAAACATGACTTAGTACTTGGTGGCAAAACCCTTGTTGGGTCAGATGTTTCTTGTAGTTGGCCACCAGGTTTACACACATCTCATGAGGGATTTTGTCCCACTCCTCTTTGCAGATCTTCTCCAAGTCATTAAGGTTTCGAGGCTGACGTTTGGCAACTCGAACCTTCAGCTCCCTCCACAGATTTTCTATAGGATTAAGGTCTGGAGACTGGCTAGGCCACTCCAGGACCTTAATGTGCTTCTTCTTGAGCAACTCCTTTGTTGCCTTGGCCGTGTGTTTTGGGTCATTGTCATGCTGGAATACCCATCCACGACCCATTTTCAATGCCCTGGCTGAGGGAAGGAGGTTCTCACCCAAGATTTGACGGTACATGGCCCCGTCCATCGTCCCTTTGATGCGGTGAAGTTGTCCTTGTGTTTCTTCCATTTGTGAATAATCGCACCAACTGTTGTCACCTTCTCACCAAGCTGCTTGGCGATGGTCTTGTAGCCCATTTCAGCCTTGTGTAGGTCTACAATCTTGTCCCTGACATCCTTGGAGAGCTCTTTGGTCTTGGCCATGGTGGAGAGTTTGGAATCTGATTGATTGATTGCTTCTGTGAACAGGTGTCTTTTCTACAGGTAACAAGCTGAGATTAGGAGCACTCGCTTTAAGAGTGTGCTCCTAATCTCAGCTCGTTACCTGTAGAAAAGACACCTGGGAGCCAGAAATCTTTCTGATTGAGAGGGGGTCAAATCCTTATTTCCCTCATTCAAATGCAAATCAATTTATAACATTTTAAACATGCGTTTTTCTGGATTTTTTTGTTGTTATTCTGTCTCTCACTGTTCAAATAAACCTACCATTAAAATTATAGACTGATCATTTCTTTGTCAGTGGGCAAACGTACAAAATCAGCAGGGGATCAAATACTTTTTTCCCTCACTGTAATAACAAGATAACTAATAATGTAAGCATACTGTGTCCATAATAAGTATATAGGTTGTATGTTGGGAGCTTTTGGGAAAGAGCACAGTTAGAAAGATATGGCATTTAGAAGCAAATCAGATGGACATCATGAAAATGATCGGAGAGGTTGAGAGTAGAAGAAGTTCAGGAGCAAAAACAAATAAAATATAATTATTGTAAAATTGACTGTGTCCATAAGGTGTAGATAGTAAGTATAGGCTGGAAGTAGAGGCCTGGGCATTTTTGTTCACTAATTTACCCCAAGTAGGGAAAGGATGGCGGGGTTGAAAAGTAATAAAGGGGAGTATATATATAAAAAACATGGGGGATTGGAAGGGATGCAGACAATTACATTGATGGAAGTTACAATCTATCTGCAATATTAAGCTGATCTACCCCCCCCAAAAAATAAAAAAGATAAATAAAATTATCCACAAAAAAATAAAAAAATAAAACAAATACTCTTAATACACAGTGACTTACTGCCAGATCAATAAGCCTTCATAAATGTGTAATAAAGCTTCATAAAGCCTCATAAACCCTTAATAACCAGTAAATTGTGACTTATTGCCAGGTCTTCTCCAGGCTAATAAGCGTTTATAAAGGCGTAATAATGCTTCATAAAGTGACTTACTGCCGGGTCTTCTCCAGCTCCCCGTATAGCCATCCGTCCTTCTCCTCCTGGATGAGCAGTATGATGATGTCACCGTCGTCAAAGGACAGGAGTGTGTCGTTTTTGCCGGCCGTGTGGGGGAAGATGGTCCTGACCCGTGGCTTCCTGCCCACGTTCAGGACAGAACCCATCGACACTGACCCCAGAGACAGGCTGCCACTGTCCTCCATACTGCCCTGGTCTGGAAGGTCAAAGTTCAAGTTCAATATTTTTTATTATCAAATTTCAGAAAGACAGCAAGTACTCTCTGAAACATTTGATATTTACAATAGCAGAGTTCAAAATGATACATGGATAAGTATATTGGGGAGGAAGGAGACATGGCTTATAGCTAGTGATTTATAACCCTGGTCTAAATGGCCACACGGAGAACAACTATTGCATCAGTAAAGAGGGGAATTGGTTTTGCAGCAGAATCTTCTGTATAATTTAGACATTCAATAAGAGAAGACATGGAGAACAAATGCTAGATGAAGTAAGAACAGATACATTAGCAGAATACATGCATCACACCTTGAAGGGAATTAAGATGCCGCCCTGAACCTTCTTTTAAGATGTCTGTATATATTCTGTCGAGCAGACATACTCAATAATGCCCCAGTGCACAATATCAAATATTCCCAAACAAGAGATTACATGTAGATTAGGACAGCCACTAAATTCTTTTTAATCAATTTGTATAGATCAGATTACGAAAGGCAGCATACTTACATGGGGAAAGAGGTATGGGACTCTGTAAAGCTAAACATAATCTCTGTATAAACTAACAGCTACCAAAACATGTTATATTTTCACATTTTTGATACAGAGTACAACTACACACACAACTACACACATTCAAACTTCAATCCAAAGACTGAAGCTGCAGTAGTACCTGAGATGTGGTCTGATGTAGATGTGGATGTGATGGAGGCGTGGGGGACGTACTGGTTGAACATGTTAGCTAGTGGACTGATCTGGGCCTTCAGCTGGGGGGCTGGTGGGGGAATCATCGAGTCCCCGTTGTTCTGAGGACAGAGGAAAACATAAAACATGAAAGTCACAGTACATGCAATGCATCTAAAAGAGTAAATACCATTTGTGACTAGTTTCAGGAAACTAGGCGTATGTTGCGCGTCACTACTTGAACATAAACATTTATTTTTGATCAAAATGAGTTTTTGGGGGGCAGAAATTCCTTCTGGAACTTTCATCTGCCTTAATAAAAAACTTGTATGCCATCTGTAAATATGAATACAATTGTTAAATTACGAGTATAGTTGGTTTAGCCACGGAAAAAGACAGGAACCTTCCCACTAGCCATGATTGGCTGAGATAATGGTTGGGCTGGACATGCCGACAGATGAGTTTGGGTTGGTCTGCCATGTAGCACGCTTCTGTCTATAACATAAGCTGCTCAGTATGTGTGTAGGTAATCCTTTCTAACGTGGCTTTTTTGAAAGATATCACGAAGAATTGCAAAAGTGTTGCTAATGTTCTCCACTTTCTGGAGAACCGAGTTGTGAAATCAGTGGAATGCCCGGTGGAAGCAGAGTATGATAGCTAAGGAGATGGAGAAAATTCTGGCGTTTGATTGCATCTTCAAACTATGGAGAACTATGGCATCCGGGACAGAATGGGAGAAGCGTCCATCTATGTATATTGGTAAGAGAGTCTAGCTAGCTATATTTTCAGACATTATAAGTTTCTAATTTTCTCAAAAAGTCATTTTCATTGCTAGTTATAGCCTAATGTTAACTAGCTAGCTAACACTGAACCTAGTTGGTTAGCTTTAGCTACCTGCAGATTCATGCAGGGTAGTAACGTTATGAGTTAATTGTTTAGTTAGCTAGCTAGCTACATGTCTAAACAAAAGACTCCACTATTTCACTGTACCGTTTACACCTTCTGTATCCTGTGCATGTGACAAATCAACTTTGATTTTATTTGATATAGTGTGTGTTTACCAGAGACGGTAATGTGAAAAACAACATGACCTGCACAAAAGTCAAATTAGAATATAACGTTAGGCCAACAAGACAGTGTCCAAGTTCTAAAATTATCCGGTAGAATGCCCTGCTTTTATTTCGTCACACTCACAACTGTAAGCTATTTTCTGTAATTAGCTTGCCATTAACTTGTGAGTTTATTTTCCTGTAATAATGAATACAAATTAGCTAAAGTTAAGATGTTCTCAGCTATATGATATGGTCATTATTTGAACTGGCTAGCCAGTTAACGGCCTCACATGGCCTCACATGTGAACCATTGAAGAGATGGGTGGGGCTAAGGCTTAAGACGGTGTGAATAATGCTGAATGGGTGTAGACAAAGAAGAGCTCTCCAGAAGGTACCAAAACATTCAAGGGCCATTTTCTCAAAAGTGGGGTTACAAGTTTATCAACTTTCAAAGCAGAATTACTTTCCCATTGTTCCTCAACTGTAGTGTATGATATACAATTTTCTAGCTCTGAGTCTCTACTTTTATCCAATGTAAAAAACACAATTTCAAATGTTTCTACATACAGTTGAAGTCGGAAGTTTACATACACTTAGGTTGGAGTCATTCAAACTTGTTTTTCAACCACTCCACAAATTTCTTGTTAACCAACTATAGTTTTTGCAAGTCGGTTAGGACATCTACTTTGTGCATGACACAAGTAATTTTCCAACAATTGTTAACAGACAGATTATTTCACTTATAATTCACTGTATCACAATTCCAATGGGTCAGAAGTTTCCATACACTAAGTTGACTGTGATTTTAAATAGCTTGGAAAATTCCAGAAAATGATGTCATGGCTTTAGAAGCGTCTGATAGGCTAATTGACATAATTTGAGTCAATTGGAGGTGTACCTGTGGATGTATTTCAAGGCCTACCTTCAAACTCAGTGCCTCATTGCTTACATCATGGGAAAATCAAAAGAAATCAGCCAAGACCTCAGAAAGAAAATTGTAGACCTCCACAAGTCTGGTTCATCCTTGGGAGCAATTTCCAAATGCCTGAAGGTACCACGTTCATCTGTACAAACAATGGTACGCAAGTATAAACACCATGGGACCACGCAACCGTCATACCGCTCAGGAAGGAAACGCGTTCTGTCTCCTAGAGATTAACATACTTTGGTGCGAAAAGTGCAAATCAATCCCAGAACAACAGCAAAGGACCTTGTGAAGATGCTGGAGAAAACAGGTACAAAAGTATCTATATTCACAGTAAAATGAGTCCTATATCGACATAACCTGAAAGGCCGCTCAGCAAGGAAGAAGCCAATGCTCCAAAACCGCCATAAAAAAGCCAGACTATGGTTTGCAACTGCACATGGGGACAAAGATCGTACTTTTTGGAGAAATGTCCTCTGGTCTGATGTAACAAAAATAGAACTGTTTGGCCATTATAACCATCGTTATGTTTGGAGGAAAAAGGGGGTGTTTGCAAGCCGAAGAACACCATCCCAACCGTGAAGCACAGGGGTGGCAGCATCATGCTGTGGGGGTGTTTTGCTGCAGGAGGGACTGGTGCACTTCACAAAATAGATGGCATCATGAGGAAGGAAAATTATGAGGATATATTGAAGCAACATCTCAAGACATCAGTCAGGAAGTTAAAGCTTGGTCGCAAATGGGTCTTCCAAATGGACAATGACCCCAAGTATACTTCCAAAGTTGTGGCAAAATGGCTTAAGGACAACAAAGTCAAGGTATTGGAGTGGCCATCACAAAGCCCTGACCTCAATCCTATAGAAAATGTGTGGGCAGAACTGAAAAAGCATGTGCGAGCAAGGAGGCCTACAAACCTGATTCAGTTACACCAGCTCTGTCAGGAGGAATGGGCCAAAATTCACTCAACTTATTGTGGGAAGCTTGTGGAAGGCTACCCAAAACGTTTGATTCAAGTTAAACAATTTAAAGGCAATGCTACCAAATACTAATTGAGTGTATGTAAACTTCTGACCCACTGGGAATGTGATGAAATAAATAAAAGCTGAAATAAATCATTCTCTCTACTATTATTCTGACATTTCACATTCTTCAAATAAAGTGGTGATCCTAACTGACCTAAGACAGGGCATTTTTACTAGGATTAAATGTCAGGAATTGTGAAAAACTGAGTTTAAATGTATTTGGCTAAGTTGTATGTAAACTTCCGACTTCAACTGTAAGACCGAATCGAGCCAGTCGGTCACATTTATGAGAAGAGGCAAGTCTTGAAACCAAGCAAAGAGGTGAATGATTATATGTTGTCCTTCTCTTGTAATAGCATTGTAACAACAATGTAATAACTGCCATAACATCACAATCTGACGTCCCACTCACCCTGTTGTAGTGTTCGACGAGAGGAGAGGCTTCTGGGGTCCCAGACACGGGGGTGCGGAGCCCCTCTAGCATGGTCAATACTGTGTCGGGGACCTTGGTGGCATCTTTGCATGTATCCTGCCAGCTGGGCAGCTTCACTGCCAGCAGCTCTTTGGCCTACAGATAGACACAGACAGGTTATAAAGGCATAATAAAGCTTATAAAGCATTCATAACCAGCAGTGTTGGGGGTAACGCGTTACTTTTACGAGTAATGGAGTAAAGTCACGTGTTACTTTTTCAAATTGGGTAATATTACTACAGTTACTTTGTCAAACAATGTACTTTCAGAATCATTTCTCTACCGGGTGGGTGATTCCATGATCCGATATCGACTTGTTTCCTCATTTAGTTCTCGAGCAGTTCTCGAGCAAGCGGAGAAAGGCTGTTTGGAGAAATGTCATTACAGCTGCTGCCCATAGAAAGGTATAGAGGGTGCACCTCTGATCTTTGCCATTGATTGCTTCTGTGATAGCAAAGCCCATAGAGGGATTTCCCGTCTAGTGGCAAGTGTGCCCTCTATACATCTCTATGGGTCTGTGTACGTGCGGTCTATAACCAGAACTGGTGGCTCGAGAGAAAGATACTGAATGAAAATACATGAAATCTGTACAGATGTAAGCCTACAGTATACAGTGCCTTCGGAAAGTATTCAGACCCCTTGACTTTTTCCACATTTTGTTACGTTACAGCCTTATTCTAAAATGCATTAAATAAAAAATAATCCTCAGCAATCACCACACAATACCCCATAATGACGACGCGAAAACAGTTTTTTTTAGAAATGTTTGCAAATGTATTACAAATAAAAAACAGAAATACCTTATTTACATAAGTATTCAGACCCTTTGCTATGAGACTCGAAATTGAGCTCAGGTGCATCCTCTTTCCATTGATCATCCTTGAGATGTTTTTACAACTTGATTGGAGTCCACCTGTGGTAAATTCAATTGATTGGACATGATTTGGAAAGACACACCTGTCTATATAAGGTCCCACAGTTTACAGTGCATGTCAGAGCAAAAACCAAGACATGAGGTCAAAGGAATTGTCCGTAGAGCTCCGAGACAGGATTGTGACGAGGTCCCCAAGAACACAGTGGCCTCCATCGTTCTTAAATGGAAGAAGTTTGGAACCACCAAGACTCTTCTTAAAGCTGGCCGCCCAGCCAAACTGAGCAATCGGGGGAGAAGGGCATTGGTCAGGGAGGTGACCAAGAACCCGATGGTCACTCTGACAGAGCTCCAGAGTTCCTCTGTGGAGATGGGAGAACCTTCCAGAACGACAACCATCTCTGCAGTACGCCACCAATCAGGCCTTTATGCTAGAGTGGCCAGACGGAAGCCACTCCTCAGTAAAAGGCACATGACAGCCCACTTGGAGTTTGCCAAAAAGCACCTAAAGACTCTCAGACCATGAGAAACAAGATTCTCTGGTCTGATAAAACCAAGATGGAACTCTTTGGTCTGAATGCCAAGCGTCACATCTGGAGCATCATGCTGTGGGGATGTTTTTCAGCGGCAGGGACTGGGAGACTAGTCAGGATCGAGGGAAAGATGAATGGAGCAAAGTACAGAGAGATCCTTGATGAAAACCTGCTCCAGAGCTCTCAGAACCTCAGACTGGGGCGAAGGTTCACCTTCCAACAGGACAACGACCCTAAGCACACAGCCAAGACAATGCAGGAGTGGCTTCGGGACAAGTCTCTGAATGTCCTTGAGTGGCCCAGCCAGAGCCTGGGATTGAACCCGATCTAACATCTCTGGAGAGACCTGAAAATAGCTGTGCAGCCACGCTCCCCAACCAACCTGACAGAGTTTGAGAGGATCTGCAGAGATTAATGGGAGAAACTCCCCAAATACAGGTGTACCAAGCTTGTACCATCATACCCAAGAAGACTCGATGCTGTAATCGCTGCCAAAGGTGCTTCAACAAAGTACTGAGTAAAGGGTCTGAATACTTATGTAAATGTCATATTTCCATTTTTTATTTTTTATAAATTAGCAAAACATTGTAAAAACCTGTTTTTGCTTTGTCATTATGGGTTATTGTGTGTAGATTGATGAGAGAAAAAAAATAAAAATGTAATCCATTTTAATCCCAACACTGGTAACCAGTGACTTATATGGCCAGGTTGGGAGGAGCAGCCATTTAAGCCCCAAGGTGGGCATAATGCCTCAAGGGAGGGCACAAATCTAGGACAACCAATAGTGTCTGTTGTTGTTGATGTGACTAAGTAGGAATTCTCCTCGCTGTGTATGATGATGCCATACCACTGATTCTACCTTTAAGACAAGGTTAACTAAAGGTTAACTAAAGGTTAACTAAAGGACAAAAGGTTAACTAAAGGTTAACTAAAGGACTAAAGGTTAACTAAATAACTAAAGGTTAACTAAATAACTAAAGATTAACTAAAGGTTAACTAAAGGTTAACTAAAGGACAAAAGGTTAACTAAAGGACTAAAGGACTAAAGGTTAACTAAAGGACTAAAGGTTAACTAAAGAACTAAAGAACTAAAGGTTAACTAAAGGACTAAAGGTTAACTCAAGTTGAACTAAAGGACTAAAGAACTAAAGGTTAACTAAAGGTTAACTAAAGGACTAAAGATTAACTAAATAACTAAAGGTTAACTAAATAACTAAAGATTAACTAAAAGTTAACTAAAGGTTAACTAAAGGACTAAAGGTTAACTAAATAACTAAAGGTTAACTAAAGGTTAACTAAAGGATTGAAGGTTAACTAAATAACTAAAGGTTAACTAAATAACTAAAGGTTAACTAAAGGTTAACTAAAGGACTAAAGGTTAACTAAATAACTAAAGGTTAACTAAATAACTAAAGATTAACTAAAGGTTAACTAAAGGATAACTAAAGGTTAACTAAAGGACTAAAGGACTAAAGGTTAACTAAAGGACTAAAGGTTAACTAAAGAACTAAAGAACTAAAGGTTAACTAAAGGACTAAAGATTAACTCAAGTTGAACTAAAGGACTAAAGGTTAACTAAAGGTTAACTAAAGGTTAACTAAAGGACTAAAGGTTAACTAAATAACTAAAGGTTAACTAAATAACTAAAGATTAACTAAAGGTTAACTAAAGGTTAACTAAAGGACTAAAGGTTAACTAAATAACTAAAGGTTAACTAAAGGTTAACTAAAGGATTGAAGGTTAACTAAAGGACTAAAGGTTAACTAAATAACTAAATAACTAAAGGTTAACTAAAGGACTAAAGGTTAACTAAAGGACTAAAGGACTAAATGTTAACTAAAGGACTAAAGGTTAACTAAAGAACTAAATAACTAAAGGTTAACTAAAGGACTAAAGGTTAACTCAAGTTGAACTAAAGGACTAAAGAACTAAAGGTTAACTAAAGGTTAACTAAAGGACTAAAGGTTAACTAAATAACTAAAGGTTAACTAAATAACTAAAGGTTAACTAAAGGTTAACTAAAGGACTAAAGGTTAACTAAATAACCAAAGGTTAACTAAAGGTTAACTAAAGGTTAACTAAAGGACTAAAGGTTAACTAAAGAACTAAAGGTTAACTAAAGGTTAACTAAAGAACTAAAGATTAACTAAAGGATTGAAGGTTAACTAAAGGACTAAAGGTTAACTAAAGAACTAAAGGTTAACTAAAGGACTGAAGGACTAGAGGTTAACTAAATAATTAAAGGTTAACTAAAGGTTAACTAAATGACCCATCCGTGCAGTACTGCAGTACCTTCTCGTGGAAGGCGGTGACATGGTAAGAGAATGTGCAGTGTTTGTCGACCAGGAAGCAGAATCGTCTCTTTTCCTCCAGGAGAGCCTCTCTGCAGCCGTCAGCGATGAACTTCTGCATGTCACTCTGCCGTGACGAGATGGTCGCCATACACTGAGGGGAAGAGGAGGGGAGGGAGACAGGTCAGTAAAGGGGGGGGGGGGGGGGGGGTCAATAAGGGTTAGATACTGGGGGGGGACAGGTCATTAAGGGTTAGATACTAGGGGGAGAAGGAGGGGACAGGTCATTAAGGTTAGATACTGGGGGGGGGGGGGCAGGTCATTAAGGGTTGGATACTGGGGGGGGACAGGTCATTAAGGTTAGATACTGGGGGGGGGGGGGGGCAGGTCATTAAGGGTTGGATACTGGGGGGGGACAGGTCATTTAGGGTTAGATACTGGGGGAGGGGGGGACAGGTCATTACTGTTAACAGTATATGTCTGAGATTGTCTCCAAATACCCTTTACGGAAAAAACACATGAATTTCACGTGAACACGTGATCTCGTGATTTAATGTGAAATGAATGTGATAACATGTGACAACATGTGAAGCAACATGTAATAACACATGAGAACATGATCTCTGTGAAATAAATGTGACAACATGGGGATGCAAAATCTCAACATGTGACACCATGACACTACACTATATTACTGTGACAACATTTGAGCACGTGAAAACCCAGGTGACAAATGTCATTTAGAATATTTTACATTGAAAGGCATAATTGACATTCATTACATTTAAACAGTAATGGTCCCCAGTAGGTTTCGTCTAGTTCCTGGGTTTATTCCAGGGACATCCCCAAGGATGTTTTTAGAACATTGTGTCATGGTCCTCTGGAGGTTTTTGTCTAGTTGTGGTAAAAATCTACAACTAGTTACTGTATTTTTACAGCTAAATTAAGGTATTAATGTTAATGGACATTATGCTGCTGTATGCTGATTACTTGGGACTCAACCTCACTTGGGATTTGAACTCACAACCTCTTGGTTGCTAGCTACCTGAAGTTCCTGTGGACATAATGGAGATTGGCAAGAATACATTTCTGCACTTTGCCTAAAGTTGCAGTAAAAATCAAGTAAATAAAAATTTGTACTGTGACCACAGTTGGGACTCATAACCTCTTGGTCACTAGCAACCTGTAATGTCCTGCTACAGTACAGCTACACCACAAGATCTGTGAGCATGAAAGAGATATGGCCACAGACCTATTGGCAAGAATGCATTTCTGCACTTTGCTAAAAGCTGCCCAGAATCAAGTAAATAATTGTCAAATTATCAACACCAACGTAAAACTAGCACTGCTCAAGGACACAAATCTTTAGGGATTTGAACTTACAACCTCTTGGTGGGAAGTGCGTCAAAGTTTCTGCAGTGCCACCAGGTTCATACTAATTGCTTGGAACATACTGAAAAATAAGGGTATGGTTAGATTATGCTACAGTGTTGTTCCCTGGGGTATACAAATATGAACTCACACGGTACAGTTTGGTACCTTGTAATTATAATGGGACATTTTTCTACCCAATATTTTGAATATAAGGTACGATCATCACTGCGCGTTGATAGGTGGGGGCAATGTACTGTTGGGCTCCTTAGCATATTTGGGGGGCGTGGTCAAATATATGTGTATTTGTGCCAACCCTCAGTTTACGTGTTTGATGGTTATGCCCATGCAAGTAGAGCACCTCCTTTGACACTGTGTGTTCTGCAAACTTTGTAAGAGAATATGTCAGTAATGAGCTGCACTGGGAAGAGGTTTTTGTGCATTTTACAATAACTTAATGTCAACTTGTTGCCAGAAGTTGCTGTGATTTTGTCATTTCTTAACTGGAAACTACTTGTCAGTAAGTTATTGTAAAAGTCACAACTTCCTGGAAAAATGTTGCCTGTAACCTACAGGACACTTGCTGCCACTAGCACTCCTTGCCAGTAACCTTCCTGTGAACACACTGCCATTAAGCTACTGGAAAATGTTCAGCAACCTCTTAACAGTACAGCTCTTGATTGTCACAAGTTCTTACAAAGACTGCAGATCTGACAATTTTAAAAGAGGTGTTCAACATAAAACCACTTAAACAGGTACAACAGTTCCACTGACGGTTGGCAGAAATACAACAGATGTTAGACCATGCCCCCAAATATTCCATGTGTTATCACTGTTCTGCTAAACTATGACCTGGGATTTGAGGTATGCTGATCTGCTGCACCATCAAGTCTGTAGCATCCCCCTAAACATTCATTACCTATAGTACATCTCTGCACTTAGCAACAGAGTGCCATCTGCACTGCTATTTTAGTTATCAGTTATTCTGACTATTCTCTCATCATTGATTTTATTTACTTATTTCAGCAATTTGAGGGTTTTTTGTATAGTTGTCTAATGTTGGTGGGGCATATTATTCTGTTTTAATGTTACTCCTGAATCATTATGATAAATATAATAGTTTTTCTTGAGTGTATTTTCAACAACGCTGAGATGTATTTAAAGTCTAAAGTGTAGGAATACAGGTGAAATCAGTTACTGATACAGACATGGTGGCGTAGCAGGAAGATCGGAATGCTGTGAACCAAGAGATTGTGGGTTCAAATCCCAGGTAAGAACATGTTGAATAATAATTACTTTGTAAATAAACATACACAATAAAGTGTGTCAAATATGTATGTTAAAACACTGTGTGTGTTTGTTTGAATTCTCTGTCACGCCCTGACTTATGGGACTCTAGTATGTTGAGTCAGGGGGTGGAGTTCTATGTTGTATTTTCTATGTTCTTATTCTAGGTTGTGTATTTCTATGTTGGTCGGGTGTGGTTCCCAATCAGAGGCAGCTGTCGCTCATTCTCTCTGATTGGGGATCATACTTTAGTAGCATATTGGCAATCATTAGTTGTGGGATCTTGTTCCGTGTAGAGGCTTGTTTTGTGTTTAGCCTGAGGACTTCACGTTTCGTTGGTTTGTTGTTTTGTTTGTGTGTTTATCGTTGTAATAAACATGTATGCATATCACGCTGCGCCTTGGTCTGACCCATCCTTAAACGAATGTGACATTCTCACGTGAATCCAGATGTGGAAGGTTATGTGATTACTTGTGAAAATCCATATGTGAAATATCATCACATATAAAGTGTTCCAAAAACACGATATTCCATGTTAAATCATGTGTTCTTTCCGTAAGGGTACTGATGAGGAGACTGACTGTTAAACCATTCAGTAAGGTTGTAATTGCATGCTCAGAAAAAAGCGGCTTGCTTAACTGTTCAGGTCACGTTTGAGCTTATGTTGAATAATGAGATTTCTAATCAAAGTCCCTGCTCTGTCTGTCTCCATCTCATCCCCTGTTGTTAATCCATCATCCCTATCAATAACTCTGCAGAATGAACCTGTGTCTGCATCCCAAATGGCCCCCTTTTCCCAATGTAGTGTATGGTCAAAAGTAGTGCACTATATAGGGAATAGGGTGCCATTTGGGACGCAGTACACCCGCCTTCCCAGGGATTGACTCAGTATTGAAACACCTTAACAGAGCAGACCACGGAACTGATCACACACAGACAAAGCTCAGTTCCTCTTTGAAACAACTCTCACCCTCTGTTTCACCCTCCTCCCCTCCTCCCCTCTCTCCCCTTTTTCCAGTTGTCATGATGACAGTGAAAGACGATTAGTCTCTAGGGTTCTTGTTTCGCGGTGGAGTCACAGACCCTCCTTTAAATGTGTAGCCTCTCTAGTTCTCTCTCTCTCACTCTCTTTCTCTCTCTTCCCCTAATGATGGGGCCACGCTGCCTAAACTATGAAGCTTAATTTCTACTGCAAACAATCACTGGAAGACTGAGAAGACTGTATGACTGAAATGACCGGAAGACTGAGATGACTGGAATACTGAGAAGACTGGAAGACTGAGAAGACTGGAAGACTGAGAAGACTGGAAGACTGAGAAGACTGGAAGACTGAGAAGACTGGAAGACTGAGAAAGAGAGAGGGGAGGAAGAGAGAGTGACAGACATACGGAGAGAGAATGAATTGAGCTCAGGTGTTGCAGCAAATCAAATCAAATCAAGCTTTATTCATTTCAGACATGGAATGCAACGCAATGTGCTTCAAAGGAAAAAAACTAATAAAAACAATGAAAATAAAAACTGAAATATTTACTACACAAACATAAGAGGACAGAAAATACAAAATAATAACTATAAAAACTGAATGACTAAAAAGCACCCTAAGGAAAAGCAAAGCTAAAGGTTTGTTTTAAGAACTCTTTTAAATATGTCCACAGTTTCGGCCCCCCTCAGGTTCTCTGGCAGGCTATTCCAGAGGCTGGGGGCATAGTAACTAAAGGCTGCCTCTCCATGCCTCTTGGTCCAAGGCTTTGGATAGTTAAAAGGCCAGTGCCAGAGGACCTGAGGGACCTACTGGGTACATAACTTAAAAGCATGTCTGATATGTATTGGGGTGCACAATCGTGGATTGATTAAAAAACCAATAGAAGAATCTTAAAATGAATTCTAAAACTCACAGGCAGCCAGTGCAGAGACCTTAAAACCGGTGTAAGGTGTGCTCTCCTGTAGAGGTTTGAAAAATACAGATGTGGGGAAATTCCATTACAGATCCATGCTACTTCATCTTTCTATTAAAAGGTATTTATGCATTACTTTGGAGTGAGCAGGTTGTTTTCTTTTTCATCCATTTCTATCCATTTCAACTGAACCACATTAGATCACAGTAGATCACAGTAGATCAAAACTAAATACAGTCTGATACATGTCTACTAAGTGTGTATGGGTTGGCCCTTATCTAATCAACAGGTATCATATTCATAGGACAGTGACAAACCATTCACACTACATAAGAGGAGGGAGTTTCTGTCCACATAGCAAGCCACAATACATTACTGTCTATTAGTTTTACCAATATCAGACTAGATTACAGCCTTCTTTTTAAATGGTGCCATTCATAGGCAAATATAATATACATGCTGAAACAAAGATGGTTAACAACAAGATTACAACCAAGAAGCCATTAAGAAGAGATCATGAAATTGAATAGAGAGAGAGAGAAGACTCTCCTCTTCCAAACCTCCAGTTAGCTAGCACTTCTGGGATATAGAGAGACAAGATTCTCCTCTTCCAAACCTCCAGTTAGCTAGCGCTTCTGGGATAGAGAGAGACAAGATTCTCCTCTTCCAAACCTCCAGTTAGCTAGCGCTTCTGGGATATAGAGAGACAAGATTCTCCTCTTCCAAACCTCCAGTTAGCTAGCGCTTCTGGGATAGAGAGAGACAAGATTCTCCTCTTCCAAACCTCCAGTTAGCTAGCACTTCTGGGATATAGAGAGACAAGATTCTCCTCTTCCAAACCTCCAGTTAGCTAGTGCTTCTGGGATAGAAAGAGACAAGATTCTCCTCTTCCAAACCTCCAGTTAGCTAGCGCTTCTGGGATATAGAGAGACAAGATTCTCCTCTTCCAAACCTCCAGTTAGCTAGCGCTTCTGGGATAGAGAGAGACAAGATTCTCCTCTTCCAAACCTCCAGTTAGCTAGCGCTTCTGGGATATAGAGAGACAAGATTCTCCTCTTCCAAACCTCCAGTTAGCTAGCGCTTCTGGGATAGAGAGAGACAAGATTCTCCTCTTCCAAACCTCCAGTTAGCTAGCGCTTCTGGGATATAGAGAGACAAGATTCTCCTCTTCCAAACCTCCAGTTAGCTAGCGCTTCTGGGATAGAGAGAGACAAGATTCTCCTCTTCCAAACCTCCAGTTAGCTAGCACTTCTGGGATATAGAGAGACAAGATTCTCCTCTTCCAAACCTCCAGTTAGCTAGCGCTTCTGGGATAGAGAGAGACAAGATTCTCCTCTTCCAAACCTCCAGTTAGCTAGCGCTTCTGGGATATCGAGAGACAAGATTCTCCTCTTCCAAACCTACAGTTAGCTAGCGCTTCTGGGATAGAGAGAGACAAGATTCTCCTCTTCCAAACCTCCAGTTAGCTAGCGCTTCTGGGATATAGAGAGACAAGATTCTCCTCTTCCAAACCTCCAGTTAGCTAGCACTTCTGGGATAGAGAGAGACAAGATTCTCCTCTTCCAAACCCCCAGTTAGCTAGCGCTTCTGGGATAGAGTCAGACAAGATTCTCCTCTTCCAAACCCCCAGTTAGCTAGCGCTTCTGGGATATAGAGAGACAAGATTCTCCTCTTCCAAACCTCCAGTTAGCTAGCGCTTCTGGGATAGAGAGAGACAAGATTCTCCTCTTTCAAACCTCCAGTTAGCTAGCGCTTCAGGGATAAAGAGAGACAAAATTCTCCTATTCCAAGCCTCCAGTTAGCTAGTGCTTCTGGGATAGAGAGAGACAAGATTCTCCTCTTCCAAAACCCCAGTTAGCTAGCGCGTCTGGGATATAGAGAGACAAGATTCTCCTCTTCCAAACCTCCAGTTAGCTAGCGCTTCTGGGATATAGAGAGACAAGATTCTCCTCTTCCAAACCTCCAGTTAGCTAGCGCTTCTGGGATAGAGAGAGACAAGATTCTCCTCTTCCAAACCTCCAGTTAGCTAGCGCTTCTGGGATATAGATAGACAAGATTATCCTCTTCCAAACCTCCAGTTAGCTAGCGCTTCTGGGATAGAGTCAGACAAGATTCTCCTCTTCCAAACCCCCAGTTAGCTAGCGCTTCTGGGATATAGAGAGACAAGATTCTCCTCTTCCAAACCTCCAGTTAGCTAGCGCTTATGGGATAGAGAGAGACAAGATTCTCCTCTTTCAAACCTCCAGTTAGCTAGCGCTTCAGGGATAAAGAGAGACAAAATTATGCTATTCCAAACCTCCAGTTAGCTAGCGCTTCTGGGATAGAGAGAGACAAGATTCTCCTCTTCCAAACCCCCAGTTAGCTAGCGCTTCTGGGATATAGAGAGACAAGATTCTCCTCTTCCAAACCTCCAGTTAGCTAGCGCTTCTGGGATAGAGAGAGACAAGATTCTCCTCTTCCAAACCTCCAGTTAGCTAGCACTTCTGGGATATAGAGAGACAAGATTCTCCTCTTCCAAACCTCCAGTTAGCTAGCGCTTCTGGGATAGAGAGAGACAAGATTCTCCTCTTCCAAACCTCCAGTTAGCTAGCGCTTCTGGGATAGAGAGAGACAAGATTCTCCTCTTCCAAACCTCCAGTTAGCTAGCGCTTCTGGGATATAGAGAGACAAGATTCTCCTCTTCCAAACCTCCAGTTAGCTAGCACTTCTGGGATAGAGAGAGACAAGATTCTCCTCTTCCAAACCCCCAGTTAGCTAGCGCTTCTGGGATAGAGTCAGACAAGATTCTCCTCTTCCAAACCCCCAGTTAGCTAGCGCTTCTGGGATATAGAGAGACAAGATTCTCCTCTTTCAAACCTCCAGTTAGCTAGCGCTTCAGGGATAAAGAGAGACAAGATTCTCCTCTTCCAAACCTCCAGTTAGCTAGCGCTTCTGGGATAGAGAGAGACAATATTCTCCTCTTCCAAACCTCCAGTTAGCTAGTGCTTCTGGGATTTCAGTCAGAATAATAATAGAACATGTGTTGCAGCTCAATATATTGAGCCCCTTGCTAAAAATAAACACAGCTCACACACTGACACTTATCAACATCGGGCCGATTAAACCGGTCAATAAAGCAGGAGTGGAAGAGGACTTATTGCACAGGCAGCCTTGTATCAAACCAGAGTGGGTTTCAGCAACAGACAGCATCTCCAAGGCCCCATCTCTCACCTTGTCCTATTGATTTAATAAAGAAGTATTTGGTTAGGAAGACTATTACTGTGCATTCTCTGATTACTGTTAGTGGCTAAATATGCTACCCGACACCACTCATTTTACATTTTAGTCATTTAGCAGACGCTCTTATCCAGAGCGACTTACAGTTAGTGAGTGCATACATTTTTCATACTGGCCCCCCGTGGGAATCAAACCCACAACCCTGGCATTGCAAACGCCATGCGCTACCAACTGAGCTACTCCAAGTCTACTCTACTTATAATAATAATATGCCATTTAGCAGACGCTTTTATCCAAAGCAACTTACAGTCATGCATGCATACATTTTTGTGTATGGGTGGTCCCGGGGATCGAACCCACTACCTTGGCGTTACAAGCGCCGTGCTCTACCAGCTGAGCTACAGAGGACCACTACTTAAGGGGACATTTTTAAATGTATAAACTCTTCACCCTTTCCCAGTCCCACTACACCCTGTGAAGCCTGTCAGTGAGTGTATCCTACCAACCAACTCCAGACCAACTACCAACTCCTAAGTGCACACTTCATACTCCAGAGTGGGCTGTACCCTTGGCCAGTCAACACTTGAGAGCACAATCCTCACGCTAGAGTGTACAGTGCTCCCACTCCCCACATTCACAAAAACACACTGTCCATTCTAATGTGATGAGAGGCATTTGATCCCTTTCGTTTTATGCGAAGGGACATGGCAGTGACGGCACTCAACTTGACATTAACACAAAGAATCTGCCCACAGCTATAGGTGTGGTGATACTGCACATTGTTTAGTATTCATTTCCCTTCCACCCTCTCACTTTTATGTACGGTTTTTCCTCCTTGTGGTGTGTGGCAAGATCAAGGAGCCAGCTGGGCCTATGACTTTTCCTGGGTTTACTCTCAAGACAAACTTCATAAACGTCTTTCTTTGATATCCTCTTTGGCAGGGTTCACCAATAGGTAGCCCGCGGGCCAAATTCAGGTTATTTTATTTGGCCACCCATGTTTTCTGAAAGTGATTTTAATTTAGGAATATATTTAGGAATAAATATTCCCACTCATAAATAAAGAGGTATAGGTGATTGTATCCCAATGTAATCAAGGTTTGAAATGATTCTGTTTTTGTGAAATACTATACAGTATCTGTTTGGGATTTTTGTGGTCATTTTGCAGTGATTAATTAAGATCTGGTTCTAGTCTCACCTCGTTCTCCTTCATTAACTAAGATCTGGTTCTAGTCTCACCTCGTTCTCCTTGATTAATTAAGATCTGGTTCTAGTCTCACCTCGTTCTCCTTGATGAATTATGATCTGGTTCTAGTCTCACCTCGTTCTCCTTGATGAATTATGATCTGGTTCTAGTCTCACCTCGTTCTCCTTGATTAATTAAGATCTGGTTCTAGTTTCACCTCGTTCTCTTTGATTAATTAAGATCAGGTTCTAGTCTCACCTCGTACTCCTTGATTAATTAAGATCTGGTTCTAGTCTCACCTCGTTCTCCTTGATCTCGTACTTGGTGGCTTGTTTTCCCTGGCTCTTCCTCCGCAGCTTCTTCAGGTCCGTCTGAGAGCGCTCCAGAGAGTCCTGCTTTATTTTGTGCTCTGACTGGTACCGCTTGAATGTGGCCTGGATGAGAGATACAGAGGATAAGATAAGTTCGATGGAGAGGACTTTTACTGAATGCAAGGAGAGGGGATATTGAGGAGGGGAGAGAGGATATTGAGGCGGGGATAGGGGATATTGAGGAGGGGATAGGAGACCATGTTTAAGTGTGTACTCACACACCTGCATACAGTGCCTTCGGAAAGTACTCAGACCCCTTTACTTTTTTCACATTTTGTTAGGTTACAGCCTTATTCTAAAATTGATAGTTTTTTTTCTCTCATCAATCTTCACACAATACCGCATAATGAGAAAGCAAAAACAGGATTTTAGAAATGTTTGCTAATTTATAAATAAAAACAACTGAAATATCACATTTACACAAGTATTCAGACCCTTCACTCAGTACTTTGTTGAAGCACCTTTGGCAGCGATTACAGCCTTGAGTCTTCTTGGGTATGACACTACAAGCTTGGCACACCTGTATTTGTGGAGTTTCTCCCATTCTTCTCTGCAGATCCTCTCAATCTGTCAGGTTGGATGGGGAGCGTTGCTGCACAGCTATTTTCAGGTCTTTCCAGAGATGTTTGATCGGGTTCAAGTCTTGGCTCTGGCTGGGCCACTCAAGGACATTCAGAGACTTGTCCCGAAGCCACTCCTGCGTTGTCTTGGCTGTGTGCTTTGGGTCGTTGTCCTGTTGGAAGGTGAACCTTCTCCCCAGTCTGAGGTCCTGAGCTCTCTGGAGCAGGTTTTCATCAAGGATCTCTCTGTACTTTGCTCCATTCATCTTTGCCTCGATCCTGACTAGTCTCCCAGTCCCTGCCGCTGAAAAACGTCCCCACAGCTTGATGCTGCCACCACCATGCTTCACCGTAGGAATAGTGCCAGGTTTCCTCCAGACGTGACGCTTGGCATTCTGGCCAAAGAGTTCAATCGTGGTTTCATCAGACCAGATAATCTTGTTTCTCATGGTCTGAGAGTCTTTAGGTGCCTTTTGGCAAACTCCAAGTGGGCTGCCATGTGCCTTTTACTGAGGAGTGGCTTCCGTCTGGCCACTCTACCATAAAGGCCTGATTGGTGGCGTGCTGCAGAGATGGTTGTCCTTCTGGAAGGTTCTCCCATCTCCACAGAGGAACTTTGGAGCTCTGTCAGAGTGACCATCGGGTTCTTGGTCACCTCCCTGACCAAGGCCCTTCTCCCCCAATTGCTCAGTTTGGCCGGGCGGCCAGCTCTAGGAAGAGTCTTGGTGGTTCCAAACTTCTTCCATTTAAGAATGATGGAGGACACTGTGTTCTTGGGGACCTTCAATGCTGCAGACATTTTCTGGTACCCTTCCCCAGATCTGTGCCTCGACACAATCCTGTCTCAGAGCTCCACGGACAATTCCTTCGACCTCATGGATTGGTTTTTGCTCTGACACGCACTGTCAACTGTGGGACCTTTATATAGACAGGTGTGTGCCTTTCCAAATCATGTCCAATCAATTGAATTTACAACAGGTGGACTCCAATGAAGTTGTAGAAACATCTCAAGGATGATCAATGGAAACAGGATGCACCTGAGCTCAATACTTATGTAAATAAGGTATTTCTGTTTTGTATTTCTAATACATTTGCAAAACTTTCTAAAAACCTGTTTTCACTTTGTCATTATGGGGTATTGTGTGTAAATTGCTGAGGATTCTTTTTTATTTAATCCATTTTAGAATAAGGCTGTAATGTAACAAAATGTGGAAAAAGTCAAGGGGTCTGAATACTTTCCGAAGGCACTGTACGTAGACACCTACATACACACACACTCACACACTATTCGATTGTCCCTTGCCAAGGTCCTACAGTGGTTAATGTACTTACAGTCATATATTTGACATCCATCTCTGTTTTCCTCTCCAGCTCAGAAATTATTTGTTTGTGGAACTGCTTGAACTGAAAAGAAAAGAAACAATCTAGTTCAAGTCAAATATATAAAATAATATAAACGTTTGACAATAATAACCAAGATGGTGACATCAGGATAACAGTTGTGTGGCTGAGCCAGAGGAATGTAGCAGTGACATTGGCTTTCTCAGTGAGGGGAATTCCAACAACAGATCTGTCTTTTCTACCTATCCAAATAGTTCAACATTGACTACTTTCTCCTTCTTTCCCTCTTGCAGATACACGAACATCTCATTCCAAAATCATGGGCATTAATATGGAGTTGGTCCCCCCTTTGCTGCTATAACAGCATCCACTCTTCTGGAATGGATTTCCACTAGATATTGGAACATTTCTCCGGAGACATGCTTCCATTCAGCCACAAGAGCATTAGTGAGGTCAGACACTGATGTTGGCTGATTAGGCCTAGCTCGCAGTCACCATTCCAATTCATCCCAAAGGTGTTCGATGGGGTTGAGTTCAGGGCTCTGTGCAGGCCAGTCAAGTTCTTCCACACCAATCTTGATAAACCATTTCTGTATGGACCTCGCTTTGTGCACGGGGGCATTGTCATGCTGAAACAGGAAAGGGCCTTCCCAAACTGTTGCCACAAAGTTGGAAGCACAGAATCGTCTAGAATGTCAATGTATGCTGTAGCATTAAGATTTCCCTTCACTGGAACCTAGCCCGCACCATGAAAAACAGCCCCAGACCACTATTCCTCCTCCACCAAACTTTACAGTTGGCACTATGCATTCGGGCAGGTAGTGTTCTCCTGGCATCCGCCAAACCCAGATTTGTCAGTCTGTCTGCCAGATGGTGAAGCGTGATTCATCACTCCAGAGAATGCAATATCCATCATTCAAATCGTCTTAAATTCAGTTAAGTTTCAACGTTTATTCGCCACGTGCACAGGAGGCAACAGTTGTAAAAAAGTAGGCATACAGTGAAATTCTTACCTGGAGTGCTCTTTTGCAACAATGCAGTGATAATAATAATATAGATGATAATAGAAAATAGAATAAAAACACAGAAGAAGTACGATATAAGTTGAAGAAACACCAGAATGCACCTGTTTCAGTCTAGACTACCTGACTGAAGTATAGTATTGTAAATTAGACGTTGTGAGTGATTGGAAATTATCCTGTCTAAGAGCTAGTTGTCTTGCTCTTGTCACCAGTGACACTAACCAGAGTCACTTGCCTTCCTACAGTATGCCAAGCCTCTCACCCCCTGGTCTCAACTAGAGACCGAACAGACCGAACAGACATGCCAAGAGAACACAAGATGAAAGAAATGGTCTAAAACAGGGATGGGCCCCCACCACCATCAAATTGAAAGCAAAACATTTTAGCACACCCTTCTTGACAGAAGAGAGAACATTTTTACGTTTTAGAGTTAATTCAGTGAAATTCTACACATTTTGCAATGTGGCAACAAGAGAAGATTTTGCAATTCTATAACTAATTTCATGCAATTCTACACATTTTGCCATGGGGCGGAGAGGAAAATGTGCTGTTTTACAGCTAATTTCCTGCAATTCTGTATTTTATAGCGTGGAGATAAATGTTTGCAGGTTTTAATATGATATGTGAGTGAGACTAGCAAAATCAACGGGGGCCCCCGGGCCGGTAATTAGACCATGATTACTAAGTTTACATAGCTAGCCGCTGGACTAATTAACCAATCTATAATTTTTTTTGCTGACATGGGCTAATTGAGTGACAATCAGTGACTGACATAACAAATGAAAAACTGCCTTATGGGGGGCTGGGAATTGATCGCGGGCTGCCAGTTGCCCATCCCTGGTCTAAAAGACAAAAAAAGTAGTAACAGTCTTGTGTCTAGGTGGCATTTCTCTCTAGGCCTTGTTGTGTTCTGGGCGTGTTTAGAGGATAAGGGAGGCCTGCTAATGACTAGTCACAGTGAGAAAGAGAGAGTTGGCATAGAGAGGACCTATGGATGTGGGTGGACATGAACACACAATGCAGGTCAAAGAGAATGGTAACCCTTGACTTCAGTCTGCCACTAAATGAGCAATTAGATGGTAAAATGGTAATTACATAACAAAAAAAGAATAATTGTCACGGTTTCGGCCGAGGCTGCTCCTCCTCCTTGTTCGGGCAGGCTTCGGCGGTCGTCCTCTCCGGAGTACTAGCTGCCACCGTTCTTTGTTTTCTATGTTTGATTGGTTTGGTCTGTTTAGTACACCTGTTCATGTTTAGTGTTGATTATGTGTCCTATAAGTTCTCGTGGTTTCTGTCTTGTGTTGTGTGTAATTGTTTTCCTGTCGCTTGGTGCAGTGCTGTTTGCTAGACTCTCTTTGTTTTACCGTCGCACTATTGTTCGAGCGCAGTTCGGTTTGGGAGTACTTTACGCACTGTGGCGTATGTTTCGCCTCCGGGTTGTTTGACCCGTGTTATCATTTTGGATTTTCTAGTAAAGTCTGGATTAACTGAGCTCCTGTGTCCTGCTATTGATTCGCACCACATCCGCATCAGAGTTTGTGACAATAATGACTATTTTACTAAAGAGAAGAAGTGACAGTAACATACGTTCTCCTCCAGCTCCAGGTGAACCTTCCTGTGCACCTCAGAGATCTCCATCAGAACCACACCTGTAGAAAACAGATCATACATCATACACAGGTAAGGGACATCTAGCCTGGGTGCCAGTCACAGTCCTGCTAGTCTATATCCGCTTTAGTTAACATGCTGTTGTCTTATTGGGCAAGGCCAGGATACATCAGTGTTGAATCAATGCAGAAACTGTAAGACAACCAGGCTAAGGGAAACTATTGCATCATAGATGCTGAGCACATCTATGACCCTTTTTCCTCACATTTATCCACAATATAGCAGGGGGTGTAAAGCCATAACACATACGTTTTCCCAGCAGCAGACTATGATCGATAATTTCAAAAGCCACACTGAAGTCTTACAAAACAGCCCCCACAATATTTGTATCATAACTTTATCTCAGCCAATCCTCAGTCATTTGTGAAAGTGCTTGTTGAATGTCCTTCCCTATAAGCGTGCTGAAAGTCTGTTGTCAATTTGTTTACTGTAAAATAGCATTGTATCTGGTGAAACACCATTTTTTACTAAGGGTTGGTAACAGGCTGATTGGTCGGCTATTTGAGCCAGTAAAGGGGGCTTTACTGCCGGTCAAAAGTTTTAGAACACCTACTCATTCAAGGGTTTTCTTTATTTTTACTATTTTCTACATGGTAGAATAATAGTGAAGATTTCAAAACTATGAATAAACACATATGGAATCATGTAGTAACCAAAAAAGTGTTAAACAAATCAAAATATATTTGATATTTGAGATTCTTCAAATAGCCACCATTTTTGCCTTGATGACAGCTTTGCACACTCTTATACCAAAATAGTTTTACCTGCAACCAAAAAGGGTTCTACCTGGACCCAAAATGGATTCCCCTATGGGGACAGCTGAAGAACCCTTTTGGAACCCTTTTTTCTAATAGTGTACCCAGTAAAGGATACATAGTATTGTTCATAATACTGTATAGATAGGTATACAGTTGAAGTCGGAAGTTTACATACGCCTTAGCCAAATACATTTAAACTCAGTTTTTCACAATTCCTGACATTTAATCCAGTTAGGATCACCACTTTATTTTAAGAATGTGAAATGTCAGAATAATAGCAGAGAGAATGATTTATTTCGGCTTTTATTTCTTTCATCACATTCCCAGTGGGTCAGAAGTTTACATACACTCAATTAGTATTTGGTAGCATTGCCTTTAAATTGTTTAACTTGGGTCAAACGTTTCGGGTAGCCTTCCACATGCTTCTCACAATAAGTTGGGTGAATTTTGGCCCATTCCTCCTGACAGAGCTGGTGTAACTGAATCAGGTTTGTAGACCTCCTTGCTCACACACGCTTTTTCAGTTCTGCCCACAAATTTTCTATAGGATTGAGGTCAGGGCTTTGTGATGGCCACTCCAATACCTTGACGTTGTTGTCCTTAAGCTATTTTGCCACAACTTTGGAAGTATGCTTGGGGTCATTGTCCATTTGGAAGACCCATTTGTGACCAAGCTTTAACTTCCTGACTGATGTCTTGAGATGTTGCTTCAAAATATCCACGTAATTTTCCTTCCTCATGATGCCATTTATTTGTGAAGTGCACCAGTCCCTCGTGCAGCAAAGCACCCCCACAGCATGATGCTGCCACCCCCGTGCTTCACGGTTGGGATGGTGTTCTTCGGCTTGCAAGCGTTCCCCTTTTTCCTCCAAACATAACAATGGTCATTATGGCCAAACAGTTCTATTTTTGTTTTATCAGACCAGAGGACATTTCTCCAAAAAATACGATCTTTGTCACCGTGTGCAGTTGCAAACCGTAGTCTGGCTTTTTTATGGCGGTTTGGAGCATTGGCTTCTTCCGTGCTGAGCGGCCTTTCAGGTTATGTCGATATAGGACTCGTTATACTGTGGATATAGATACTTTTGTACCTGTTTCCTCCAGCATCTTCACAAGGTCCTTTGCTGTTGTTCTGGGATTGATTTGCACTTTTCGCACCAAAGTACATTCATCTCTAGGAGACAGAACGCATCTCCTTCCTGTGCGGTATGACGGCTGCATGGTCCCATGGTGTTTATACTTGCGTACTATTGTTTGTACAGATGAACGAGGTACCTTCAGGCGTTTGGAAATTGCTCCCTAGGATGAACCATTTTTTTCTCAGGTCTTGGCTGATTTCTTTTGATTTTCCCTGATGTCAAGAAAAGAGGCACTGAGTTTGAAGGTAGGCCTTGAAATACATCCACAGGTACACCTCCAATTGACTCAAATTATGTCAATTAGCCTATCAGAAGCTTCTAAAGCCACATCATTTTCTGGAATTTTCCAAGCTGTTTAAAGGCACAGTCAACTTAGTGTATGTAAACTTCTGACCCACTGGAATTGTGATACAGTGAATTATAAGCGAAATAATCTGTCTTTAAACAATTGTTGGAATAATTACTTGTGTCATGCA